CGAACTTGTGGTTTCTAGTAGTGTTTTAGCTTCAGTAGATGATATCATAAAGCAGCCATTTCACCCTTCATATAAAAAGATATATAGCTACGCTCGCATCATCTGAGAACATGGTATTTTTGTTCATTTTGCCATTAGCAAAATATGTCAGTCATGAGAACTCTCTTTGGTAGTGAAACTATACCTTAATCTGCTATAAAAATACCATAGACCAGAAAGCTGATAAAAATTATTCCCAGTCCCGGAGACTGGAAGTCTGCAATCAGGGTGACAGCATAGTGGGTTCTGGGGAGGGTCCCTTCGGGTCACAGGTTGGCGACTTCTCATTGTACCGTCATGTGTTGGAAAGGGTGAGACAAAACAAAGCAAAAACAATAGCAAAGCAAAAGAAAAATCTTTTCAGATAAATGAGGACTGAGGATATTTGTTGAAAATAAAATTAATTAGGAAATTCTACACACAGAAGGAATATGATCCCAGATGAAAGATGAGGACCTAGAAATGAATGAACAATGTCACAAGGATAAACTTGTTGGTGAATATAAAGGGATATTGCCAACACAAAAATAAATTTAATATCTAATAGTTTAAGTTACTAGTGACATGACAAAATAATAAAAATGGAATACAAGGAGTTCGAATGTTCTAAAACATTAACAAAAATGCTTAAATTTCTGGCAATAACTGCTTAAACTAGTTGCAGAATATTTTCCATGAATAGAAATAGAATAATAAAGTAATAAAATAGCTTACTTAATTCAAAATAAGATACTAAAAGAATAAAAAGAAGCACAAATGTGGGACAAATAGAAAATGAATAATAAGACAATAGCTTTATGTCCAACTACATAAGTAATTACATTAAATGTTAGTGGAGTAATACAAACTAGAACACATCAGAATATATTCTACCTGAGAAAGCATAAAGCATGTTTTGATATATAAGAATTCAGATGCTTTTAACTCTACTTGTATATGTGAAAGTATGTTTTGAAATACTTTTTTGGAACCAAACTTTCTTTTCATGGGGTGTAAGCACAATCTAGAGAATTTCTTTCAGCAGGGTAGATATGAGATTTATGTATACAGATGTTGGATGAGGCAGCTTATTTTTAAGTTTGAACTTTGTAAATTATGAGACTCAGTGGCTAAGACAACAGGCACAATAATGTTCATGTTATTGTCTGCATGTAGCACTGAATCTTGTATATAGAAAGGTGACAACGAATGTCCATCAGTTCCACTGGCTGTTCTCATTCCTAGAGAGAGGACTTTTATACCATTCCCAGATAATTCCACTCAGAAATACCTTACAGGATTTAATTACACATGCACAGAGAGACTCACTTTATATAGCATTTACACATGTTTTATTTAATTTACCTTTTAGTCTTGTGTGATATATTGTCCTAGGGTAATTATTTCAATTTAAAAAATTTAATCAAGTTTATCAATACAATTTAGTATATATAACAATCATACTCATCATAGGGAATTTACACCTGTATGTGATATATGTTGATTCTTATTTTTTTCCCATTGCTGTCCCCTCCCTTCAACTTCTCTTCCCCTGCTCTGTAAGGGCTTTGGTTCCATTCTGTGCTTCTTTTCTCACTGCTTTTTTCCTTTCCTTCCTGTCCTCCTCTCACCTCCCTAGTTCCCCTTCTCATTTGAACGTTTTCTTCCTATTTCACAACATCTACTATACATTTAGGTTCTTATTTAGGCTTTTAACTTTGTGTAATATACTGTTCTAGTGTAATTATTCCAATATTGATGATGAGGAAATGAGTCTAGACAGTTTAAGAGGGACAGCAATAGGACTGGAAGATAGAATTGGGGGTGCTTATGCAATGCCCATGTGTTATATAAATGTAGGCAGCTATTTTAAGAGACTACTCCCAAAGTCTTAAACTGGACTTTAAACTTCATTGTGCAGATGGTCATTTTAGATAACAGGAATTACAAAAGTTAGTCTTTCAGTGGCTATTACACCAAAGTCACAGTTCAGAACCAATGGGACCATTATCATTTTCCTCTAGAATCTGGGTTAAGTAAACTGATTGTGAAGATGAGAAGAGATGAAACATGGGGGTGTGACTTTGATTTCACAGTACTAATTAGAACCACAATCTAGCAAACGCTCAGCTTTATGTTGCCTCTGTATCCATTACAAATCCAAGAGTAATTTTTATATACCAGAAACAGGTTCAGTCTCCTTGATGCAATTTCTAGTTCTGCACCTCAAAATGCCTCAAATTGGTGACCGGAGATGAGAATTTAGAAGCCTCTGACCTTTAGTGGACTAGACTCCCTGCTTTTCTGTAGCTTCCTTTGAGTGGATTATTAGGCATTTAACTTTGCACCTAAAGTGACCTTCACCCTATACATAGCTAGTTGACCTCTGTCATAGTTTCCTCATTCATGGGACAAAACACCTGACATCACAAGTTAAAGGAGGAAGGGTTTATTTTACCCCATGTCTAGTAGGAGTTTCTGCCCACAGTTTGCTGTCTCCAAGGCAGGACAACATGGCAGAGGAAAAACAGTTTATGGTCTAGCAAGCAGGAAGCACCACGACTTCTTCCTTTCTTCACATTTTATTCCACCCAGGCTACAAATCTATTGATTGGTGCCACCTACAATCAGGGTAAGGTCTCCCCTCCCCCCAGTAAATCCATCATTCATACTTAAAATCACACTAAGCCAATCAGTAGACTAATCCAACACTGTACACCTGTGATCCAGTCATTCCCCAAAGCCCATCTAGGAGTGCATGAGGCTTTGGGGGCCATCTAGATATAAGCCATAATGCCCCCTCCCACTCCCTGGCTCTTTATTCCTATCTCATATGACCCAGGGACAGAGGAATGATTCCCCCATTCATTGTGTCCTTTTGCTTAGGATCTATAATAATTATTATTCAGTTTGGTTTCTGTTGCAGGAGTGTTTTAAATTTGCACCTTCCATCTGATGATCTAAGGACTACCCAGGGATGCGGGGCGAATAAAGGATCAGGATCTTGGTGACATAGTGGTGGTCAGACAAGAGCCACATAGGTATTTGCCAGTGTAAACCAATTTCTTGTGGAAGGGACCCCTTGATGGCAGATCAAACAGCTAGGCATTACACCATCCACCAGATAAAGAAATGTCCTGTGATAGGTGCAATGTAAGCACCATGTTCAGCTCTCCATCCTTTCCTCTTAGTGCAGGGTTGATACTCTGGTACGGAGGCTCAGTTTAGCATGCGTGAGTGTCACCTGAGTTCTCTCAGATGGCAATTGGGCTAATTCATATACCGTAATTCATCAAACAATTCTAAGGTAGAATTCTAATAAACTGTGGAGGGTTCTTAATTAGTAATTAGAAAATGATTATACTTTGTAAAAAAACACATTTCTTTGATTACATTGATGTGACTATGCAATTACATTTCAAATTAATGTGAACAATGTTTAAAGCAGGAGTTCTAATGTTGGTCTAATCGGCCAGGTAACTTGGGCAGGAGCTGCTTGTGGGTCTTACCCAGTGTAACAAACATTGTTACTGGTGTTGGCCCAGTTTTGCAATTCTATTCTGATGTTCCTTGCAAGATGTCAGTGAGGACTTAGTTTCATCATGTAGTCTTAATAATTTATATGATCCATTTTTTAATAACTTGAGTCAAGATCTTAAATTTTTACTGAAATCAAATAGCTTTTATATTTAAATATTATTTTATTAAAGTTTACTATTATCAATATAATAATCTTACATTTCAATATTATCTAGTAATATTGAGTATTATTATTTATTGAGAACATACTGTAGTTAATTAAGAAATGCCTCTAATGTACATCTACATTAATCTTACTAAGGAAAATTAAAGAACAACATATAATATATTTATTGCACTAATATGTATCAATCCAAACAAATACACTGCTTGAGAACTGATACAGAGTGTACTGTTATTAAACCCCACATAGTAACACCTTTGAGAAGGAAAGAAGGTACAAACCAGATGCAAACATTGGGAAAATAAATTTAAGCCAATGTTTTCTAGGTCAACCTAGGATATGTGGTGTCTTTCTAATTATGGATCTAAGCATATGTGATACTTAACTATTGTGCTGCATAGAACCACATTGTGCCTAAATGAAAAACAGCTTCCATGTACATTCAATGGATACTTACATGGCTGCTCTGTGCCAGGCACTGTAGAAGATTTAGCACTGGGGTTAATAATAAAACACAGCCTGAGCGCCTGCAGGAACTGTCCACCTTGGAGGCAGAGGAGCAGCAAGGGTGGAAATGTAACGTAAGCGCTGTGACTCTGCTTCTACCCTAGTCTTTAACCCTAATGTTTGAAGCTCAAGTTGGTTTTTGAATTAGTTTATTTCTTCACGCTGTGGAGCTATCAGGAAAATGCTTTTGGATGTATTTATTTTTATTGATATGTATCTAGTATATAATGATTACATTCCTTGTGGGAAGTTGGTACATGTATATGACACATTAATTCTTTTTTCACACCTTCCGCCCCATCGCTCCATGTCACTTTCTTTGGAGACAGGGTCTTACTTCATAGTTAGACTGGCCTTGAATTCACCATGTACCTTGGGATAGACTTGAACTTGTGGCAACCTTCCTGCATCAGCTTCCCAAGTGCTGGGATTACAGGTGTGAACCACCATGCTTGATCCTTTCCCTCTCTCTCTTGATCTTTTTCTCATTTTGAGGAAGAACTATGCCTGTTTTATTTTTCTTTATGGCAGAGTAATACTATATTTAAATACCATATTTTCTTTTATTTTTAAAAATTTATTTATTTATTTTAAAGGGAGTGAAACAGAACAGTAAAATGAAACAAAACAAAACAGTAATAGGACAGTAAGACATCCACAGTCATTATTTTGTTACACATTATTATCCTCTAAATAGTTGCCCACTGATCCCAGGCCTGAAAAATTGATCAAATACCATATGAGGTTGCTTCCCTCCCTCGGTTACTATCACTTCAGCCTCTGTCTGTCTGGTTGCTCAGAGGTGGCTGGGGGAGAGGGAGGAGGAAGGCGGCGTCCTTGCTGTTTCTCCCACACCAGCAGTGCTGCTGCTGGCACACAGGGAGGCTGCACAGCTTCCTTGCTCTTCTCCCTGGCCGGCAGGGCCTCCGCCAGTGTACATTTATTCCTTATTGCTTCTGCCCGCAGCACGTGCATGGCCAGTGGGAGCCCCATTTCTTTCCTACTGCTTCTCCCCTGTCAGCCAGCAGGGTCTCCACGGGTGCATGGGTGGGGGCTGCATTGCCTTCCTGCAGCTTCTCCCTGCCACTTGCCAGGTCCTCCTCCAGTGCGCTGGGGGTGCTGTACTTTCCTTATTCACTTTGGGAAACCTTTCTGGCATTATTTCTGTAAATAGATTTTTAGTGCTATATACTGTCTTCTGATTTTATACTAATTTCAGTTAATCTTCAATTAATTTTCTTTGTATCATCTAGCAGGCGTTGAACTGATTTTCATGTTCTTTTATATTTTTAAGGTATGTCAATAATTGGTCACCATTGATAGCCTTGTCTTCTAGTTCTTAAACTTTTCCATCACACTGTTGCTTCTGCTGCCCATACCTTTAATTTCTTATGTCCTGAATTTCTATTTGGCACTGTTTAATGGGGCCTAATTATGTTTTTACTGGACACTCATGTTTTGAACTGTTTATTAGTGTCTTCTGTAGACTCACTGCTTGTTTTGTTTATGAGGATTGTTATGGTTTGGTAACTAGTGGTCAACTTAACGCCAGCTGGATTACATCAGCATGCATTGAGAGAAGATGCTCCACCTGAGGAGGGTATTGAGAGGGATTGAGGCGTTATGGAGGCACTATTGGTTCTCCTATGAGTTGCTGTCTGAGCTGTTGGTTTTCCTGGAGAAGCTTTGGTCTTCACATCGAGCATTGCTTCCTGGCTCTGGAGGGGAAGACATGTGCTGCCTGGTCTCCAGGATGAACTCGTCACGCTGCTTCCTGGCACGTACCCGACTGTGCTTGTTGTCGGAGGAGCTCAGGGCCTCTGTGTCGCTGAGGACAGCTGTGGTGCCTTTCAGGACAGCCCCACTCTTTGTTGTGAGTGTGACTTCTCAGCTCCAGTGTAGAACCCTCATCCCACTAGCACAGCTCCTTCATCCTGCTGGCATAGACTTTCTGGCTTCCCACTGCTGACCCTTGGGTCTTCCTGGCACGAATGTGTAAAAGAGACTGGCGTGAGTCCTTCTTGTGGGCTCTGGACTTCCAGTTGGACTCGTGGAGGCATTGTCCTGAGCTCTGGGTTTTTATCTGGACTCATGTGGGACATTGCCGTGGGGTTTAGGCTCTTGACTAAATAATATATGTCGTTGGTGTTGCGGATAGATTTCCTGCATTCTCCTGTGTTAACTTCCGGTGACCATTATAAAAATATTATAAACTCCACGTCCTGACCTGAATTGTTCTCTGTGTACAACCCCTGACTACAACAAGGATCATTATATGTTTAGTTATATCTTCTTAAAACTCACCAAGCATCTTCTTGATCTATTTTTAAAATATTTCCATATTAATTATACTTTTGAATACTCAGCTATGTGGTTTTTGATTCCCCCTCCACTTCCCCTGTTGATGTCCCATAGACCAGTTTTGGGGAGGCATTTTGTTGCCTAGTCTTGTCACATTTCTGTGTGTGTGTGTGTGTGTGTACTGAAGCTTGTTGGGTTGATTATAGCGGAGACTTCTTTAGTTAGTGTTTGCTTTTCATTGATACATTTTGGGCATGGCTATCTGTAGGCCTTTGCCTCTGTCCCAGAATAGCACTGCCTCTGTTTATTTGGGAGGGGAATCTGTGGTGTATTTCCTTCAGCACCCAGTTCTCCAGAAATGGACCACAATATTGGTAGACACTAAAGTAGTCCATATATGGGCATACAGAGAAAACTGATTGCTAGCAACAACTATGCCACCTTGTCTATAGTAATAACATCAGTAACAATAATAGTATTGAAGACAAAGTAGATATTGATATACCCTAAAACCCAATAATATCGGGGCTTGAGGTTTAGCTCAGCGGCATAAGCGCCTGCCTTTCAAGCAGGCAGTCGTGAGTTCGATCCCTGGTATCGATAAAAAGGAAAAAGAAAAAAAAAACCCCAATATCTTACCCTTAATCATAGAAAAGAGGCTTATAATTGTAGTATAACTACTAAGACAAATCAAATTTTGACCTGAAGTAATATACTAAATGGAACAATGTTATCCCCACTAATAATAGAACAGTATTCGACGTAAGAGTATAAAGTTAACAATCTAAAGACTCACAAAGTTTGACTGTTATATTCGCAAAGACAGAGGGGTAAGAAACTGGACAATGAGAAAGGTTGAATTTGAAATATGAATCAATGAGATGGAGGAGAGAAAAATAAGATAGATGACCCTACTGAGGAGGAAAAGGAAAGCAATAATATTAGATAGCAATAACAAAAATAATGAACAAAAAACAAAACAAAACAAAACAAAAACAAAAACAAAACCAGGAAGCGCAATGAGGGAAAAAGAAAAAAGTTAAATGGAAAAAAGCAAAAAGAAAGCAAAAGTAGAAGCCCTCCCAATTCCAAAAAACAAAGAAAAAGAAAAAAAATTCCACTGTGTTTGTGGAAAATTTGTTTCTTTCCAGGATCTGAGGTTGATTTATGATTTTTCTGCTTAGTTTTATGGCCGAAGGTTTGTGAGTGCTTTTTCTGTTCCAGAGCACCTCTCTTCATATTCCCTAGACTGCTGTAGCTGTTAAAGCCAAGGCATGGTCTTGCTCAGATGGCTAGATAGGAAAAACAATGAGTCCTCTGGTCTCTGCCATGTATAGGCCTAGGACAGGAGTTTAAGCACTGTTGACTTCATGTGAACACTTAGAGATCTAGCCTCTTTTTAAAAAAATTTTTATTTAAGGAAAAAAAGGAAAAAAAAAACCAGAAAAAGGGTACAAGTTATACAGAATTTCAAAAAAACAATAAACAGGAAATCACTAGTTAATAGATTACATATTGTCATCTTAGAAATAGTTGTTCAAGTTACAAAATTAAAACATATAAAGTGGACATTCAAATGGTGAGACTGCAAACAGTTCTGTTCAATGAGCCAACAAAACTCAGTAATATGTTATCTATCTTATACACTTAAATATACATGCAGTTATATCCTTTAGAGCACTTTCTTTTCCTCTCTTTTTTACAAAGACGATTACACATTTTGGGTTTTATTACTCCCACAGTTCTTACTTTTTTGAAGAGAATAAAACCAAATGTGACATAACAAAACAGAGTCAATCAAATCAAAAGGATGGACATAGTACATAATGTAAAAACAGAATACAAGGTGATCAACAATGGTTACCATAATGCCTCTTGCTTTCTTAAAAAGAATTGCCTCTATCCTCAGTTATAATATAGTTGAACAAAACAGTAAAGAACAAAACCAATAAAACCAAAACATTGGAGACATTACAGGACTTCAAGAGAAGATAATAGTCAAACCAGAATGGGTGTCATAATGAATCTTATTGTCTTCACAGTTGTTGCCTATACTCTCGAACTTCATACTATCAAGCAAAACAGAATAGAATAAAATCAGTCAAAACAAGATGATGAGAGCAATACAGGGTTTCTAATCAAGTTAATAGGAAATCAAAGTGGGTTACTATAATATATCCTGCTATTTTTATTTATTTTTTCCTTAATTAAAAAGATAAAAATAAAAAAGTAAATAAAAAAAGGAGATTGAGATAAAAGAGGACACAACAAAACAGCACAGGTCAAAACATAACCATTTAAGCAAAATAGTGTTTCACCACAAGATATCCTGACATAAAAGTAGTTACCATGGTGTCCCTTTCCTTGAAATTTTTGAGTATAACTTCGTATACGGTAGCATCAAACATATCAAGACAATGTAAAACCATTTAAGAGAATGACTTGAATGGGACTTCAAAACAAGATGATATTAAATCAGCACTAGCTATTATGATGTCTTGTTTTCTCCAAAATAGCTATTTATACCATCCAACCTTGTCTGCCTCATTTCTGTTGAGCTCTTTTTCTGTCATTAGTTGTCAGTTTGTCTTCTTCATTTCACTTTCTGCTCCATTCATTGTGGCCTCTCTGCCACTGTTTCTGGAATCTTGGTATTTTTCTCTTTTAGAATGTCCTGCAGTATTCTCTGTAGAGTTGAATTGGTGGTTGCAAATTCCCCTAGTTCCTCTTTATCCTGGAAGCACCTTGTTTCTCCATTAATTTCTAGGGACAGTAGTGCAGGATATATCAATATTGGCTGCAGGTTATTATCTTTCAAAGCTTGAATTATTTCACCTCATGCTCTTCGTGATTTAATGGTTTGTGCTCAGAAGTCTGCGGTAATTCTGACGGGTGTTCTCTTGTAAGTGATTTGTTTCTTGTCTCTGACAGCAGTGGGATATAGTGTGGGACCTTACAGTACTCTCAGCCTACAGCTCCAAAAACAGTTCTGATTGCAGGATGGCGGAAAGGGAAGTCCAGTCGGCAGGGGCAGGTCAAGAGAGGCTTAACAGGGGCTGGGGATTTAGTTCAGTGGCATAAGCGCCTGCCTTGCAAGCCGGTGGTCGTGAGTTCAATCCCTGGTACTGATAAAAAACAAAAAAGACCAAAGAGAGAGAGAGAGAGAGAGAGAGAGAGAGAGAGAGAGAGAGAGAGAGAGAGAGGCTTCACAGAGGAAATGAGATACATGTCAGTCTTGAGAGATCAGGAAAGGTCTCGCTCCTGACAGAGGGAGTGGGAAAGACACTGCTGGCACGTGAGTGCCACAGAAGAGACAAGAGATCTGAAGGGGCATGCAGGGCCCAAGTGAGAAACTGAGCATGGCCCTGCAGCCTGGAGCAGAGTGGCAGATGGCAGAGCAGTGAGACACAGCTGGGAGGTTGGGCAGGGCTGCTGAGGACTGAGTGGCAGGGTCAGTTACGTGATCTGACATTTGTACTGGCTGCCTTGTGCAGGGATAGAGGTGGGGAAGGTCACTCAGTGTAGGCACAGGCAGCAGGGTGGAGAGGATAGAACTTATGGACGATTTGCTGCGGGGCTGGGAGTGACATAGTACACTGCTGAACACTCCCTGCTGAGCTGGATGGAGTGATGGAGGGGTGACTGACACCCAGAATGGAGAGTGGATTTGGGTAGAAAACTGTTCCTGAGGAGATGTGAAGGAGGGTAAAATGGCACCAGAAGCTATGAAAATGCTCTCATACACCGCAGGTATGTTTGAGTGTGTAGGATGGAAAACCATATTACTGAGCTTTTGTTGGATCATTGAACAGAACTGTCTCCAATATCACTGGATGAGTGTCCACTTTATATGCTTTAATTTTGTAATTTGTACAACTGTTTCTGGGAAGATAATATGTAACCTATTGACTGGTGATTTCTTACTATATATTTTTTTTCTTGAAGTTCTGTATTACTTGTACCCTTTTACTGCTTTGTTCTTTTATGTCCTTTCTTTTTTCTCTTTAAATAAAAAAAAAGAAAAAGAAGAAAATGCTCTCATATCACCCATGGAAAGCAAGAGGAGCTGTGGCCATGAAGGGGATGAGGCTGTATTGGGGGTCCAGGCTGTGGATCCCGTTTCTAACTCCTAGATATGTGAGAGGCTGAGACTATAGAACTGCTAGTCTCAGAAGTAGCACAAATTCTGGGGGTGGCAAAGGACCTGCTGGCAGCCTGTTCTTCTCTCTGAGCTGCTCAGAGAGCTGGGCAAAGGGACAGCCCATCAGCTGGTCTTTCTCCAGCTGGTCTGGAAGACGATAAATGCCTGAGGCCTCCATTCCACCACTGCTTGCTGTGGCCAAGCTGCCCAGTTCCAGGGTCTCTCTGCATCCAGGCCTGTAAGGCAGGAAGGTCTCAGGGCTGGGGTGCCAGAGGCAACCACAGCTGCTGGCCTGGATGCCATTTGCTCACCTCATCTGATCCAGTGCAGAAGATGAGCAGGTCAAAGGGGATAGCAGCCACCATGTCGATGAGGAACCAGCCCTTGAAGTAGTGGACAGCAATGCGGCGGGGGTGGCTGACTACCTCATCACTGGAGTTGACATAGATAGTACGGAAATTGATGACAATGTCCACGACAAACATGAGGTCCACCATGGTGAGCGGACTGCAGGTGTAGCCACAGGCCCCCGCTGTGACTCATCCTGGTCACTGAGCAGGAAGGCAGCCGCGTAGGGAGTGAAGACAGCTGTGTGGATGACCAGAAGCAGAATGAGCCAGTCCCACACAGCCTTGAAGGGGCTGCAGGGCAGGATGGTCCCACGGTGGATGTGTGGGGCCTGCAGCTTGTACTCTGGCAGCACATGTGCATCCAGAGACAGGACCTGGGGGTGAGGGCCATGAGGGGTGAGTGGGGGCAGCCACTGCTGGTGAGACAGGCCTTGGGGAGAAGCCTAGGAAGGGAGCCATGGGAAAGGCTGGGTGACATTGGCTGCAATGGGCAGAGGGGACGGGGGGAAGTAGAGACAGAGGAAGCAGGACGACGGACAAAGGGTACATATCTGTCCCATGGTGATAATCCTGCTCAGATACAGGCCATCCTGGGCTAACTATGGGCGTGTTCCAGAAAAGTGCTGGGATTGAGGAGATAACTTGGTGGTCAATCCTCTCTGGTGGGCTTGGGAAGGTCCCAGTGGTGGGAGTTCCCAAAAGACGTACACTACCCCTGGAATATCCTCTTCATTTCTGAGGGCTCTGGACTAGTGTGGCCTTCCTTTGGGACAAACTCTCAGAGATGCCAATGGAAAGAACCAAATTTGGGGTGCGGATAACCAATCTGGAGGTTTGATAGGCCCTGGGTGCCACGGCATTCCAGCTGCTTCACAAATGGCTAAGAGAGTTTGAATCAAAATATTCAGTGGAGCTTCTTCCATTTCGCCCCTCCTCCTACTGCCTACTGCAACAGAGAGTCACCAGGGCCTGAGCCAACATGCCCAGAGTGGTTGGGCATGTTGCAGCTGCCCAACAGGAGAAATGAAACAGATAGAATAGGATGAGCAGGGGTTTGAAGCCAGTCTTCCAAACTGGAATTCCAGGTCTGACAATGGCTATCTGGGTGCCTTGCAACAAGTTTTGTTAACTTCCAAGGCCTCATTTCCTACATGTACAAAATGGGTAACACAGCACAGCAGATTGTGTGTGGTTGCTCAGATGAAATGAGATGTGTCTCTTTGCATTAGGTGGCACGTGCTGCCAGGCCTCCTGCTTCCCTGTCCTGTGTCACCTGTTACTCCACCAAGGGGAGAGCCTGAGGGATTGAATAGTTCACAGACTCCTTCGCGCCAGGTGGGAGGGCCATGAGGGGTGAGTGGGGGCAGCCACTGCTGGTGAGACAGGCCTTGGGAAGAAGCCTAGGAAGGGAGCCATGGGAAACGCTGGGTGACATTGGCTGTAATGGGCAGAGGGGACTGGGCGAAGTAGAGACAGGGGAAGCAGGACAAAGAACAAAGGGTCCATAATTGTCTCATATGTACCCGTCTGGTAGAAGTCCGGGTTTCAGAGAATCTGCACTGTGAGGTTTTGACTTTGCAGACCAGATCAACCAGACAGATAGAATCAGAAGAAGGAGGTTCCATCAAAGGGCTCTTCCCACCAGAGGACTCTTCATCTGATACCCAAAACCTACAGTGGAGGTCTCAGTGTCCTCACACTGCAGTAACTTTCTGCCGGGCCTCTAGGCCTTGGCTCATACTTCACTTCATCAGGAAGCCCCTCGGACCCCTTATAGACTGAGACTCTCTTCTTTGTCTTTGTATCAGGGATGGAACTCACGACCTTTTGCTTGCCAGGCAGGCACTGTGCTGCCGAGCTATGTCTCTGGACTGGGATACTATTTTTATTTTCTTCATACCCCATATACAGTCCTGACCACATGTTACCCTTCACTAGGCTATAAGTGCAGCCAGGTGATTTGTCAGTCTACCTGCTCTTCCCTGTGCTCCAACATGCAGTCTGTGTGGGTTCTCAACTACTGACCACTGAATGAGCACCGGCATCTTGGGTTCTGTTTCCAAGTTCAGGCTGAGCATCACACCCATGGCTGTCAGTGTCTGCACCTTCTTCCAGGCCACTCCCTAACCCTGTCTGTCTGGGGAGTGAGAGAAAGGCTGCAGGGATAGGGGAGAAAGTTGCAAGCTGCTGAGAAAAGAGTGTCCAGCCCCTTAGCTCCTCAGGACCCCAGACCGGGAGACACACTGATGCTCAGTCTCCCACTGTCTCATCGGGGCTCTTCTGTAGCAAAGCCCACCCTGGCCAGGGACACCTGGGAGCTGGTGGACCTTCAGAATGTAGGGATGTGGCAGCAAGATCACAGCCTTAGGCACTTAAAGTTCTAGAAGAGGTCAGTGCGACCTTGCGGTTGTGCATCATGCTAATCCCTTCTTCCGAGCTCTGTCAGGAGCCACCCCTGGCATTAAGGCCCATGTTGGGTAGGTAGTAAAGCCAAGAGGACCTATGTGCCCACCAGGCCTGTCCATCTTCAGAGACAATTCTGCAATCCAAGAGTGGCCACCATATTTGTGCCATTTTAAAGGCATTGGTGTTAGCCTTAGAGAGTTTTCTCACCCTATCTCACCTCAGAGGGCCTAGCTCTGCAGCCTGGGCCGTCTCCTTCCCCACAGCCCTTGCACTCAATGGGGTTGAATAGTTGAGTGGTTCTTCTTCCTGCAATGACTCTTCTGTTGATGGAAAGGGGTAGAGAGAACAAGGGCTGCTCCCATGAGGAGACAGCCCCCCAAAAAGGCTTGCACTTCCTTGCTCAGCCTTCGCCTAGTACCCCCTGTGGATTAGAACTTTGAGTGTCTGCAGAGCTACCACTTCTTAACGTGAAGTGATTGTTAGGAGGCCATTTCATGTAAGTACCTGCATTTTGCACAAGAAAGCCCTGAGGACCTGAAGGTTGTCCCTTGTCCAGTGTCACACAGTGAATCGGTAATAGGACTCTGGTCACTGGAACCTCAAGCAAGACTCTGTGTTTCCCTCTGGAATGCGCAGGCCATTAAGCCCCATTAGAAAGGAGAGTAAACTCAGGGCCATTTACCTTGAGCTGAGCAGAGACCACATGGGGAAGGGACTTTCAGGGATGGGCCTTTAAGGGGCTGTTCAACTTTAACAGTCATCAGCTCTACCGTCTCCCCATGACATGCAGGAGGATCCTGTGCGTCAAGGGGGAGGTGGCTGTTATTTGAAAGGCAAGGGGCAAGAGCAGGGCAGGGGACCTCCTGCCATTCTTCCTCCCTCTCCTTGTTTCTGTATGGCCCTCATCCATGCTGTTTCCCCTTCTCCTTTGCAGGGACGGGAAGTGACTCGGGCAGGCCCCCAATGGTGGCCTGTGCGTGCTGTCTTGCTCCCTCCTACCCCTGACAACTCCAGTGCTAAGAGATAGACTCTTATAGGCACTGCTGATCCCAAATTCTCTGAGCTCCAGGACTTTGGCCTCAGGTGAGCTCTTTAGGTGTAGAAACTCCACTCAAGCAGGGGTCTGGACATGCTGCATCTCTCTGTTAGTCAAGACCCCAAGGAACCCCAGGTTCAGGGCTTGCTAGCTGGCACCTGGGTGACCTTCTCAGTGACGTTCTGTGTTCACTGTACCACCTTGTGTGGCGCAATGAATTCGATCTCTGTGGTGGAACTGGAGCGGTGCTTCTCAAGGTTGAACTCCATGAGGTTGAATGTGAACTGTGGGATCTGGCTGACAGTTCTGTACTTGTGCCTGCCTGGGCCAGGCCCCTGTTCACCTCTCCTTCCACAGAGCCCTCTGAAACAGGACCTGGATCAGAGCAGCCAGGGCCAGGCCACTGGTTGCTCCAGTGGATGCCCCTAGCCTTCCCTGGTCACCACCACCCATAGCCCACCTCACTTGCTCACCAGAGCCCAGAAAGTTTTCGGACAGCAGGTGCTGGGTCAGGTTGGGACTGCTGTTCTTGGCCAATAGCTGGGCCAGGTCCTCAAAGCTGAGGATCAACGTGATGACAGCCCCATCCTGATTCTTCACAGGCAACATATTCACTAAGCATCTGAAGCTGGAGGCTGTAAACACCATCAGCAGGTGGAGGTGGTGGTCATTGAAATGATCTCCTCCATTGGCTGGAGAGGAGGCCGGTGAAGGTCAAGTTAAAGGCACCTACTGGAGAGAAAAGGCCTAGACAGTGACCAGAGTTGATGGGTAGATGGTGGGGAACTGGTCAGCTAGTGCCCTACCCAAACGACAGAGATGAGGAGAACAACTAAGCTGCTCATTAGGAGATAACATCGCATTAGGTCCAAGTCCAGGCAGTTCAGGGCTGAGGCTCAAGGTTTGTTTCTGCTGTAATTACAGCTGAGCAGATGGGAGTGGATTAAGTGGGGAAGGCCGGTGGGGCACTGTACACCCATGTGGCTTTGGCTGACACTGGGCTCAGCTCCCATAACACCACACCACAAAAATGCCCCCTTCTCTGACACTGGAAGGAACATGTTGTTGGGTTTACACTAAGTGCTGGGCATAGACCCAGTGGGCACTTTGGGCTTCAGGAGATCTTTGCAGGGCAGATGTAGACTTCTGTTCTGCAGGTGACAGACTGGGATTTTGAGAAACAGATTTGCCATGGCTGGGAGGAGACATGAAGCAAGGACCCCTGGGCTCTTGGCACACAACAGGTTGGCAAAGGGAAGAGCCTTGTCTGGGAAGAAGGTATTGGAGCAGTCCCAAGGCAGAGCCTGGGACCAGGGATCAGGCAGGGCAGTGTCCTGAGGGTCAGAGAGAAGGAAAAGTGCACCTAGGAGCAGAACAGGCCCCTTATGCTGCTTGTTCCACCCCCTGGGCAGCCCAAACATAGCAGTTGGCCCCTTTGTACCTCTGGCCCCAGTCTCTGTTCCCTCTCCTTGCTCCAGGCTCCTGCTACCTTCTCATTGGTGGATGGAACAAAATCACTTGAAATGATGCATATCACAGAACAGAGCCTAGGAGCAGGCATTCCATGGGGTTCCTCTGTGCCTCAGTTCAAACTGCTGGCCACAATCAGTTTGAAAGGGCAAGATCCTCAGGGACAAGGCCTGAGATGACCTTGCAAATTAAAAGGCAGAGCTGCACGCCCAATGATAGGTTTGGGTTTGTCTCACTTCTGCTAAGTATGTATTGATGAAATAAAGCACATATGTGTAAATACGAGGGCACAGTGGCCAGGCCCTAGTTGTGACTTACCTCCCCTGCCCATTCTCACAGCCATCAGGCCTGGTATACAGCTGAGCCTCCCTCCTCTTCCCTCCCATTTTGTTCTCAGGAGCAGGAATCTCCCAGATCAGATTCCTGGACTCTCAGGCACCAGGCAGCCATCTGCCCGCTGCTGTGTGGGTCCTGGGGAGACATCCATGAGGAGGAGAGGCCCCTGGCCTGGCTTGACCCTCCCCTGGGTTGCATTGCTGTAGTCACTCTTGTCAGCCTGGGGTGTGGCAAGGCTCCTGCCTCTAAAGTCCAATTATGTTTCCTGTCTCCCTGGCACTGGGGAGACTTAGCCTGGTGGGGGGCAAGAGGGAGGGTGGAAAGCCCTGCAGGCTTTCTATGCTGCTGGAGTAGCCATGGCCCCATCTTCCCACTCGCTATTTCTCTTGTTTGAAACCCAGACTGGGAATGCATTGAAGACCAGCCCCTCATAGCAGTAAGGGTTGGAGCAGCCTGGGGTAGGCACACTGGAGTAGGCAGACAGGCAGCTATGAGAATTTGGAAGAGTTTAGCACATCCTCTTCATGTACTGCAGGGTAACTGTCTTTGCTTCACCAAAGCTCGAAGCCTACAAGTACCCGGGTGGGCAGTAGTAGGTGAGTGTTTTTTTTGTGCCCAGAAACAGCAGTGTCCTGGTGTCCTTGCCCTGTCTCTGTAGGACACACCAAAGTCTGCCTACTTTTCCCTTCCAAGGGCTTCTCCTAGTACTTCTCATTGCCCATGTTTCCTCCCCACTCTGACCCTCACTCTAGCCTCTTGACAACCCGCCCCTTTTGTGGAGGGTACGGAGTTTGAACCCAAGCTCTCACCCATTGTAGGGAGACACTCAAGCCCTGAGCTACACCCACAGCCTCACTCTGAGTTCTGTTCCTACACTCCATCTAGCATTGTGCTGAGCCCTTAGGGACCAGTGGTGCTGCAGAAAGCTGCCACTAGGAGGGGGGCTATACCACACTGCAAGGTGCTGCCTCCAGCTTGGCCTTCCTGGCATTTAGAGGTGAGTGTGTGGAAAACACTGCAGAAGGGAGAGGGTAGACAGTAGCTCCTGACCTCAGTATTGCCCTGTCCTCCTTACGTAGAGCTGAGGACTGAGAAGCCCCAATCCTCCTGGAGTCTGGCCTAGAGATGACAAGATTCTGGTTTAGGCTCATCAGAGTAGAGGACTAGTAAAGGCAGACAGGACTGGGTCCTCTGACAAGTGCCCAGTGGGGCAGGAGTTAAGGGAAGACTGCGCGCTCTCCATGCCACCTCTAGACTCTCACTTGTTCTAGTCTGTGACAGTCCCCCTTCCTCTTTATTTGTTAAGGTGTTGCTTTTCCTAGCAAAGACAGGTGAGAAAGAGCCTTGTTTTCTCAAGAGTCTCTGACCTTGGCTCATAGGGTTGATTTTTACCAAGTGCTGCAGCCTCTGAGTCGACTTTATGCAGTGGATTACCCTTTTAGAGGAAAGAGGATTATAAATAAAACAGCTAGATATCTGTTCAGGACCCCTTCCCACCTCCCGAGAGTCTGGGGGTGGAGTAGAGAGAAAACACTGATCTGGAAAGAAATAAATCACAATATGTCCCTCAGCAGGACTGTAAGATGTTTATGAATATGATTTTTAACAAAAGAATTACATGGTCAGAATACATCATAAGGTTAACATAAGTTATCTGAGCACTGTATCCTTCTCTTAGTGTAATGATGGTCAGGAATCTCCCTTTTCTGGGTTTCAGACTAATTTCAGTAATGTCCACATGATGAAACCTGGGCAACAGGACAAGCAAGGATTGAGAGTGGGAAGTTTTACAGCACCATATACAAGGATAATTTCCATTTTCACTCAGGGCCACCCTCCAACTCTAGTTGGCCTCTTCTAATAGCTGGAGGACCTTGGCAGGGTTTGAGTTAAAGCGTGGCCTTGACCTCTGCTCCCTGCCCAGGAAACTGTAGGGTGCTGATGGAACGCTAAGAGCCCTGATCCGACATCCCCAGGATCTGACATCAGCCTTCACCCTCTTCTGTATTGACAGAGCTTTGGGGTCAAGGAAGAGAACAGAAAGGACCTGTGTCCCCTCACCTCTTTTTGTTTCATTCTGTTCCTGCAGGACCCTTCTCTCTACCCTGCAATGATGTTTAAAGGTAAAGTCACAGATTTCAAAATATTCTGACTTCATTAACCCTGTTATTTCTGCCAGACTAAGCCACATTCTTCCTTGTCTCCGGATTCTGCTTCTGGGCCAGAAGGGACAACCAATGCATAGTCAGAACCGGACCGAGAAGCCCCCCAAAAGTCCATAATGACACACATTCACACATGTGCTCACATGTGCACATACATGTGCCATCAGGGAGGCACACATGTAGATGAACACATCCACACATTCTCATGTTCATACTCACACTCACAAACACCTAGGCCCCTGGAACCCAAGTTCTCAGTACCCGTAAGTTCCAATCCAAAAGCATTTTTGTATACTCTACTGGCCCGCATGCTATTTCCATGGGAACTTCTCTCTACTGGAGGCTTCCTTTTCTAAAAGTCCTGTATCCAAGGACAGAGGAAATCGGGTCCTTTTTCCTTCTTCTTGGAAAAGGGCTTTGAATATACTGAAGAGAAACTTCTCTTAGGGAAGGATACAGAGACTTCAGCTCCAGTGTCTGGTTGGGCCCTAGCAGTGTTCTTTGATTAGTTTCACTGCCACAAAATGAAGGGATTTATCCTTTGGGAACAAAACCAGTGGTCCCCAAACATAGCAGGGCATCAGAACTGCCAGAATATTTTTCCAAATACACTTGCCTAGTGTCTTCTTGTGCACTGTGAGCCAACACTCTCTTTAGGGAAGATATGATTTGAAAAATATGCCCCAAGTAATTCTGATATAGAACTGTATTAGATGCAGGCCTGGACCATGTGAGTTACAAAGGACTTTCAAGTTCTCGTCCTAATTGCCACTGACATTTCTTTCGCAGCTCTACCAGGCATACTATAGTTCTGGGAAGATGAGCTCAAAGGCTGCTGGGCTTTGCTCAGTTCCTGTTTTGCTTGCAATGATTTTGGGTAGTAGCAGTAACCCAAACTCTACCTGGAAGAACTTCTTGATTGGGGAAAACTCCAGATCCTGTCTTCTCAAAGAGCTGCAGCTAGATGAGCCAGCCAGGAGCTCCCACACCTTCTCTGGCTGCCCAGGCCTTGATGGGGTTACTCCACCCCTAATTCCCAGAGCAGACTCACACAAGGAAAGGTTAATTTCCATTGCAGCTGCCTGACAGCTGGGGCTGACAGTGACAAAGTGGACAACCAGGAGACTGACGACAAAGGGGAGGGATGATGGAGCAGGAGGCGCTGCCCCAGGTCCCTACCAGTTGCTGGATGAGCCTGTCCCAAGCCTCTGAAAAAGACCACAGATGGCAGAGCATCCAAAACTCATTGCTGTCCCCTATTATGAGAAAACTGAGGCCAGGAGAGTGAGGGCAGAATTAGTCCAGGCCCGTTTATCATTAGATTTACTTTAGATTTACCAGGTCATCTGGTGGGCCAAGAGAGATGCCAGCCAAGCGTGTCCTGCAGAACCCCTAGCCCAACTGTGTCTCTCACCATCCTTTCGGTAGTACAGGATGTCCACTGTGTGTTCCTCAGCCCCCAGCAGGGCCTGTGCCAGGTGGGACACAGTACTACTCAGGTGTTGGGGCCTGTGAGGAAGTCGCAGGTGCACGCTCGCTGCATCACCTCCACTCGGGAATAGCCGAAGAGCTCACAGAAGCCATCATTGCAGTAAATGATGGCACAGTTCTCCATCTGAGCATTGGCTATCAGAAACTTACGACCTGGGTGGGAGGTAAGAGGTAGGGAGACTCTGGAAGCCAGCCTCGGGCAGCAGGCAGGGAAAGATTACAGGGACTGTGGCAGCAGGAAAGGGAGTTTAGATGTGGGAATTTAGTTGAGGGAGCAGGACTGGAAGGAGGGGAAGACAGGTTGGGGAAGGGCTCAAGGGGAAAGTCATTCCTCCGGAGAGTAAGGGGTGAGGGTGAAGGAGAAGGGGGCAGATGGTGACCAGTAAAGCAGGAGAGGGGGCTCGGTCCTGGAGACTGGGAAAAGCAGGGCAGCAAATGTTGGTGAAGTCAGAGGAAGGCTCAAGCCCTGAGGATAGTGAAGAAGGGTCAGGAGAGCAGGGATGTAGGCAGTGGGGAGTTAGACCTGGGAGAGCAGCCTGGCCAGGCGAAAGGGAAGGAGTCAAGGAAACCCTTAGAGTTGGGGGTAAAGTCTGGAGAGGAAAGCAGAGCCCGGATTACAAAGGAAGCCAGGGTCTGGGCACCAAGAAGAGTATTCTGCTGGCAGGGGGAGGAGCTCCATTCTGCTGTTTCACAGGATGGAGGTGTTTAGGAGGCCTCAAAGTGAAGGGTTTTGAATTCACAATGGCACCCGCTCCCCTGTTTGCCCTAACATAAGTTAGTAAAGGGGTCTGACTGTTCCTGCCACAGACCAGGGACTCTGGATCGCCCCTCCTACATCCCCACCCCAACACACACACACACACACACACACACACACACACACACACACTCACTCAGGCCTTTGAACTTGCGGATGATGGTGTCCATGTAAGTGTTTTGGGGTGCAACATGGCCTCTGTGTACAGGCATCTTTCTGTGGCCCCACCAGGTGTTACTGGCACCCTGGGCTCCCTGCAGTCTCTGGCTGTCCACTGTTGTCGACTCCAGGGTGGACGCCGCCCTGGGGGAGGGCCGTGGGCTCCTGGCCCCGCCGAAGTCAGCCTCCCCAGTCCTCCCAGTTCCCCCCCCCCCCCCCCCGCCTCTCCCTGCCCCTCTGCTACCACCCTGGGCTCCCTTTCCACAGCTTCAGCCCACCACTCCTCCTCCCTTCCTCTGCTGGCCCGGAGCTGTCCATGCTGTGGTGCTGAAAGAAGCGCGCACCAGGGCTTGTGGAGTTCTCTGGGGCCCAGGCAGTTTCTCTGGGGCCCACCTGGCAGAAACTGGGCCATAAATCGTAGGGTGCGTAGTGTGGACTGGGCCTGGGAAGGGGAAGAATTCACTGAGGCCGCAGTCTCTCCTGGACCCCGTTTGTGTACTTTTCTTTCCCATTAAATGGCAGTTTTCTCTCCCATTAAATAAAGGAGAACATTGGGAGACTTCCAGTAGGAGTTGTGTGATCCCACAGGTGGCCTTTTACTAAAGGCTTTATGGAGAGTCTGACTTCTGGGCCTGACCGTGATAACAATACACTTAAGATTTTTGGTCATCTAGTGACAAGTAGCCTCTAGTCAGGCTCCAGTATTCATCCTGTATGCCAAAATATGCAATAAAGTGCATTCTTTAGAGGCCTGAGAGCTCTTAGCATGCATACATAGCTTGAAAGGGCAGATTTAAACCACTTATTAGTAAGTGACCACTGATGCATGAGTACTGACTGAAAATGAGCATACTAGAAGCAATAGAGAGGTTTATTGAAAGAGGTGTTCTACGAGAGAAGGGTAAGGGGGACTACTGTTTCCTGAGCATCTTGGTGGGCTTGGAATGCTACAGAGGGTCCAGTGGTCAGTTTTGAGCAAGGAGGGCCAACATTCAAAATGGAGCATGTGCCTAAGGCAAAGGCTGAGGATGATGGGGTGGGGGCAGATTGCAGGGGCTGAGCTGGGTAGTGGGGATAAAGGTTAACTGATAAAAAATCTCTGCTGCCATTTTTAGTATCTAGAATTGATGGGCAACCAAATTCTTAAGCAGATAATAGATTTTGAAACCAATGTGAAGATTTTAAAGGATATATTTGGGCAAAATAAACCTTAAATAATGGGGTGATGATGGGTGGATGGCCAAGGAGGTTCACTGAGGCTTTTGCTGGAGTCTGGTGAAGCCTGGGGGTCTTGGTTAAGTGTGCATTTGCCACGCAGAACCACAATGCCTGATGGAAGCCTCATTGGCCACTGTAGCTGGGAGATGAGAGGGCTGTTGGTGTGGTCTCCTGAAGAAGTCCAGAAGTGTCTTGGCTGCCTCTGTGTGTGGAGGGTCAGGTTGGCTGAGGAGGAAAAATGGGGTGGTTTTCACAGGCTCAGTGTGTAGGATGCTGAGCTCTGAGGAGAGACTCGGGCAATGGGACATCCATGCATTCTTTTACTCATTCAAACATTTTCACTTACTAGAAATGTTACACAGGGATATACTCCTGATGTGGGTATTTAACAGCTAATCATTGGCACAAATAAGAATTTTACAGTACGGCAAGGTAAAAACAGCCACAGAGACATCAAATGAAAGTGCTATGGAATTGGGGATTGGGGCAGGAACTACTTGGGCTCAGTCATAACATAGGAACACGTCTAGAAATACATATAGGAAGAGAAAAGAGCCATAGAGACCTTGGTGTGCTACCTCTGTGGCCTGAACTTCTGACTGTGAGGCTCAGATCCTTCATCTGGGGAGAGTTGTTGCAGTTATTTGGCCATCTTCCTATTAGCTCAGGAGGAGCTCTGATGCCCCTTCTCTGTGTTTTCTAACTATAATATACTTCCCTTCAAGTTTCCCCTATTTCTTGAGACACAGTGACTCTCAGGACTCCTTGAAACCTCTGGAGGCTTAGTCCAGACAGCGAGTCTAAAAATATTGGGTGTGCTTTATTGCTGTGGCCAACAAACTGGAGAGAAAGAGTTGGAGAGGTTGAGGGAAGGGACCTACCCCACCGTTTCCCAGGCCTATTCCTAGAGCACTGATGTCTCAGACATCCTCCTACAGCTCTCTTCATCTTCCCCCACCCCTGTCAAGCCTGGAAAGGTGCTGTTTGTCCTCTGCTTGCTCCCCAGGGCAATCTGCCAAGTTGCAGGTGTGTGTTGAACAAGACCATCTCCGGAGTAGAGTGGCTGGAGATGAGCTTTGTTTAAATATTAAAGAAATAAATCATCAGTCATGCCTGGCTTTATGCCCAGCTACCCACTGTCTCCATTTATGCCCAGCTACCCACTGTCTCCCTAATCCTGTGCTGGGTTAGGGAGAAGCACGGGGCAGTTTATGAGACTATTTGGATCTCAGGTGGCCAACAAAGAGCTGATTAGGACTACAGCATATTAGCAGCCAAACACAGGGCCAGATCAGTGAAGAGATACATGGTACACAGTGTGTATGAACTAGATATCACCGAGTTTTTGTTTTTTTATATCACCAAGTTCACAGGAATGTCCAGGGATACTTAGGAACATTTGGTAAGGGGACTGAAGCAAGGTGTTTTTCTAACTAGAATAGAGATTCCTTAGGTTCCTAAGAACCAGCCAAGTGCCCATTAGCCTTCCAAACCCCATAATTGCATTCTTAAGCCAAATTTAGGCTATTTGAAGAATCAATTGAGGGCTGGGGATTTACTCAGCAGCATAAGCACCTGCCTTGCAAGCAGGCAGTCGTGAGTTCGATCCCCAGTACCAATGGAAAAAAAAAAAAAAGGAAAAGGAAAAAAGGAAGAATCAGTTGTGTGGTTAGAGCCAGTTCAAAGGCACAGCTACTAGGTCAATAAAACTGTGGATCCTGAACCTTGGGGAGGTGGTTAGGTACCATGGCCTGAAACACAGAGCTGCTGCCTGTGCATGTAGCCTCACATTTGGGTTTGCAAACACACAATCAAAGCACCACATGTATCCAGGTATGTTTCTGTTGCACCCAATGACAGGTGGGAAGTATGCCTTCAAATTGTTCCCTCTTTGTCATCCACCCTCCTGGGTTCAGGCCCTCCCTGTCCCTCAGCCTCACCAGTGTGACTGGTGGCTAGTCCTTGCTCTACTAGTCAGCTCTCATCCCTGAAGACTTCTTGTGATTGTGTGCGAAGATCCGAATGCTGAGGCTGATCGTGCACAGCAGTAAGATCAAGCAGAGGCCCAGCAGAATCCACTGTCTTCGAGTGGCCTTTCGGGGCTCCATGGGCACACCCAGGAAGTAGGTATCGGGCTGGGTGCTGAGTATCATGCTGTCGTCATCTAGTGACTGTTTTTCTTTGAAGTACAGCCTGCAGGCTAGTCCCAGGAGCACCAGGAATATGACAAAGCTCAAGCCCAGAAGTATACACAGCACAAATGTAACCTGGTCAGTCTTCATCTGCAGATCCAGTAATACCACTTTGTTTGTAGTTCTTTCTGTGGAGGACAGGAACATCTCACAGAGCAGGTGGGCCTAGCAAGGGGGCCCTAGGTTTTCTGTTGTTGTTGGGGGATCTGACTGCTACTAGACTTGTCTGTCAGCCCCAGAACATGGGTAAGAAGGAGAATGAGACAAAATAGAAGAGAAAGATACGGGCATGAGTAAGGTGACATGCCCCAGGGAACCTAGTCAGGAGGCAAGATGTTGACCCTCTGCTCAGACGCCAGCCTGGCAATCTGGCCAGGTGGTGTGCCAGAAGCAACTGAGTAAGGGCTGGACATGGCTGTACTCAAGCTGAGTAGAGACAGACTGACCAGCAACAGTGCTGTGCCAGCTCAAGCTGGACGATGGATAGCCTGAGAATTACGGCTGAGTTGGCATAGAGAATGGCCCAGGGAAGAGCAGGTTAGAGCCTAGGGTTACACTAAGGCTAGGCTCAGAATCAGATTAACTAACCTGAACAGGGACAGGTGTAGTCTGGCCAGCCTAGGATTTCACCTTGTCGCACGTTCTCAATCACTAGCCAGTTCAGCAGTGGCTTGAAGTAGGTCATGAGGGCACTTGTAGACATATTGGCCTGCCCGGTCAGCTCCTTTAGAACCTCTGGCCAGGGCTTGCTGGAGCCCAGCTTCAGGGCATGCCTGGAGGATGTGAGGATAACTGTAAGGCTGTGTGGGGGTATCCACAAGTACTGCTATGACTACTTGGTGTACCTCCAGGCTTTGCCAGCCAGACTTCTCCCACAGAGCTCAGCATAGTCGACATAATCACCAGCTTGGAAATGTACTCATGTGAGTTTGAAGTCGAGCTTAGCCACTTAGCAGGTGTTTGAGCCTCAGCTTCAATATTCATAAAATCAAAGTAATACCAGTACCTGCCTTATAGGTTTGCTACAATGCTGAGAGGCAATAAATGTTAACTATTAACTGCCACTGATGTTTATTAAACAGTTGTGATCATTATTCTCCTGGACTCAAATAGACACAAAGTCTGAGCCACAGTTTCCTGTGAAGTGTTCAGTGTCAGTGGGCAGAAGCAGCTCTTTAGTCCTTTCTGGTCTTACAGAGTTTAGGAAGGTTTAAGATTCAAAATTGTGGGAGATATTCTGTGTATCACTTGCAGCACCACACAAATGTCTGCTGTCTCAAGACACACCCAGCGCTAGGTAGCAGGTGGTAGAACCTTGGCTTGGCCCATTGCACTTGCTCAGTAGGGGTACAGGCCATGCCAAAGCCCGGGCTCCAGGCTCTTCACCCTGACTTGTGGGAGGGCAGTGGCAGCTAGAGATGTTGATCCTTCTCAACTTGTCATTCCCTGATTTGAGTAATAAAAAGGTGACGCCTGGAGTCCCAGAGGGCACCAGTAGAGTCTGGACTAACAGAGACCCAGATTGAAGATCCAGCCCTGCTACTTCTGCACATGTAACTTCTGGTATACAACTTAAAGCCTCTAGTAGACTGCATTTTCTCTTCAGTAAATGGGTTCCATGAAAACTTCCCCCCAGTGAGGATTAAGTCACATGTTGACTAAGGAGAACTTTGTAACTTGCAAAGAGTGATACACATCACTTAACTGGGAAGGAACGAGGTTGGGAAACTAAAGATTAGTGAATTCTTGGCAGACCTTACTGCAGAAAAATGTAGTTAGGATCCCTGAAAATTAAGGTAAAAGATTGTTAAGACTGATAGAAAATATTAAGGTAAAAACCTGACACGATTGAAAAAAAAGCAAAAAACAAAACCCATGACTAGAGGATTTGGTCAGATGCTGTATCTTAGATAAAAAGAAAAAGCTAGAAGAGGGAAGCTTAAGTTACTAAAAATCTAACTGTTCAGAAAGAAGAGTATAGGCTGATGTGGCAAAATGTGTTAGCTGAGCCAAGCCTGCAGTTGGTGGAGACAGCACAGAAGACCAGAGACTGCAAAGCTGTCAGCCTGCACTGCCTGGAACCCCCAGGTCCAAAGTGACAATGACAGGGTTGTGAACAAAGCCAGACCCACCCTCCACAGCTGGATGGGTGAGGTAGAGGGGCTTTGGGAATGGGGTTCACTTTGATTCTCCATTCCCAGCACCTGGCCAGGGTGTTTCGATTTAGGGGGATGAGTCAAAGGTAGCAAAATCAAATTTTAAGATGCATTAGGCATATCAGGTTCAGTGAAATGCTCCCTGTGGTTCCACATAATTTGGAAAGTGATGTAGAAGGGCCTCTTGAATCTAGAGTTTGAAATTAACCAGGGCTACACTACAAGATTCCATTTCACAAAAGGCAAAAGAGCAACGAAACTGCATAAACTCTTTAAAATGAACCCATCTCACTTTTACCTATCTTATCTATTCATCTGTTTCTTCTTTGGTGGTGATCCTGAGGATTGCACCTAGGCCTCATGCTTGTTAAGTGCTCTACCACTAAGTTACTTCCCCAACACCTACGTTTAGTTAACCTCCAATTACAGCATGCCTGAGCTCATGGATATCCCCATGCCCTAGCCTTGAGAGTTTAGTGACTCCTCTCATTCCTTCTCTTTTATGATGCTCGCTTGCTCAGTGATTGGTGTATATTGCAGCAGGCCAACCTGGCCAGGTGCAGTAACAGCTGCTTCCCCTCCTCCCCAATTCCCACCTTGTCTTCTCTCTTCCTTGTGAACCCCACATTCCTCTTTGCTGCCATTTCAACTTTCACAAAACTTGTAATATCCTCATTTCTCAAGAGCCTCTCATCTGCCCACTGCCAAGAAAATGATGTTTAAGCCTCTAAGGTTGGAAGAGTCAGTATCTTCCCGAATCAGGGGTCTGCATGGTAATGTAGGAGGGCTGGTGAGCGAGGGTGGGGTATGACTGGTCATCTTCTTTGGAGCCAGTCAGATCCTGACAGCCCTCTGCACCCAGGGTGGGTGGAGGACGGAAGTGGTAAGAATGACCAAGGTCAAATGCCCCATCAAGGAGGTAGGAGAAGGAAATAAAGTGAGTTGATGTAAAGAAAGCAGATATCTGCTATTTCTTTAGTACAGAGATCCTTCCTTATTCTCCAAACAGAATCTCTTAACCCTCCACCAAGGACTTCCACACCTCTCTATTTCAGATCTCCTTCCCCCTGCTGGATTCATGGTAGTTGGTTGGCACTGGCACGAGTACATTTTTGCTGGGTGAATACATGAGTGGATAAGAATACAAGGAGTAGAGAGGTGCGTTTATATTGAAGATCCTCAGAAAAGTTCAAAGATAGGAGTCATCCAGAATGCCCCCTCATAGTGATCAAAGGTAAAGAACAAATAGACAAGGGAGATGTAGGTCATGCAAGGTTCTTCCTGCCCTGTGAGTAAAGCCCAGTGAGCTGTCCTGCAACTACATCTGGCCTATTGGCTACAGGTGTACTGCATGGTAGAATCACAAGTACGCTCATTAAGTATGCAGAGCATGCTAAATTAGGTGACATTCTGAATCCTCTGGGAATATGAATAAGTTTTAAAGCAACCTTGACCAATTTGGGAAACAGACACATTGAAATTAGTGGAAATCAGTGGAAAAAAGCCCACATCAGTGTATGAGCTGCACATCTCAGTTGCTGGAGTAGACTTGAAGTTAATTTCACCGGGGCTCTTATCCTTTAACTGATGGAGGCAGCAGTGTGAAAGACCATGCTTTGAAGTCAGCTCTGTGTTCAAAGCATAGATTTCCTCCTTGCTGTGTCCGTGAGTCGCCATCCTGTGACCTCCCTGACCTTTGGTTGCATTATTTGTAAACTACAGATAGTAATATTTATTTTGCAAAGCTAAGAGCTACTAGTACAAAATAGTAAGAACACTCATCAGAGAGCCTGGTGTGTCTTAAGAAGAGCTTTGTGCTTTCAATTCAGGTTCACCAGCCTCTCGTAGTCTACTTCAAGAGCACAATGAAACAAAAGGAAACACCACAGAGCAAGAGAGATGGTTTGATTGAGTGTCTGTATATCTGTGTGTGTGTGTGTGTGTGTGTGTGTGTGTGTGTGTGTGTATTAGCAGAAGGGGTCCAACATTGTCTGACCATAAAGTGTTCAGCAAAGGGAAATATGCTCCAATTCATGTAGGAAACAGTGCAGTCTGACATGAGGGTGATCTAGCAGCAGGATGGAAGCTCAGTGAAGTTCTGCCCAGGTAGCCCAAGGAGGCTGGGTGAGAAAAGGGGGCCTTCAGCAGGATTGCTTACAAGGGAGACAGAGCAGCTGAGGACAATTGAGGGAAGAGGCCACTCACCCGAGGATCCTCCCAGCTATCTTTGAGCTATAGATATCACACTGGTGCAGTGGACCCACATAGCCCGAGGCATTGCACAGAGCTTCATGCAACTGGAACTGGAGCACCGTGCTAAGGAAGTATCTGGAACACAAGGGCAGGTTGGGGGACAGGATCAGGGTTGAGAAACCCCAGGCCACTTCAGCCTACGCAGCTCCGGTTTGCAAAGGCCACAAGGGTGCCTGCCAACAGTCACTACCTGGTGCAGGCTGCCTGGGCAAGGTCCTGCCTTAAGTTGGCCTAGAATACAAGGACCTTCCTTGTGTACCTTTGTGAGCCAATCATGAGCCCTACAGTTAGCTTCCCCTTTCCTTTCTATCATGGGGGCAGCAGGGAGGATTTAGGTTAGAATATTGCCACCTTCTCTGCCCTTCACCCAGGATCTAATGGAGAAATCCAAAGGAGCACAAGGCACTGACCTAACAAGGCTGTACAATCAGGTGGGAAGAGGTAGGCAGAGGAACGGGTAGTATTTGAACCCAGGGCCTTGCTAGAGACCGTCAGCCTCATCCCATGCCTCCCAAAGCCCGCCTCCCAGAGCTGACTCTGCTGATAGGGCCCAGAGCTTTACTGCATGTAGGGCACATTGGCAGCAACATGGAACTTGGCAGCAGGGTCAAAGTCATCCTCTGTCCGAGAAACAGGTGGGCACAGGCCTTGGTACTTTAACCTGCCAGGAGAAAAACAAGGTCCTGCTAGAGGTCCCTGAAGAATCTCAGAACATATGGTTTTTCAAAGCTCCTCTGTGTGTCTATTGAAATTGGACCTGGTGTGCAGACAACAGTGGACTTATTTTCATTCATTCAGTAACTGAAAACACTTGGGATTGGGAATCAAAATGAAACCATAAGCGCAGATAACACTGACTGAGCACTTCCTCTGCTCTCTGAGCTGTGTTTATGAACTCCTGCACTCTCTCAACACAGGCCCGGTTTCTGGAGAGGTGTCACAGAGGAAAGGAGCAAGGCCTAATGAAAGCGAACAGATTTTGGAGCAGTAATGAGGTAACTTCCTCTAGTAAATAGTGCTAAGAAGACAACAGAGAAACACCCCTGTGGCATGGTACTACTATTGTTGTGCGCTTTGTACAGATGAGGAAACCAAGATTTAGAAATCAAGGAAGTGACCTTAGGACCCAGCACTGTCACTGGCAGACTGACTAGGTGAGGCTGTTTTGTTCCTCTGCACTGTGCTGCTGTGGGAGATTGTAGGACTGTCACTGAGGCTTCTCATACAATGACTATAAAATGGGGAATAAAATTATCCATCATAGGGATTTGACAATGTCTGTGGGAGACTTGGTGTTGTATTGTTGGTTCACTGGTACCCGGGAACCATCCCGGGATGAGTAGACTGTTGGGAGGTCCTTCTGGAGGTTCCTTACTCAAGGTCCAGGGAGCAAACCCTCACCCAGTCCTGGGGCTCATTGGCTGGTTGGCGGTGGGTGTGGCTGGTAGAGAAAGGACAAGGTCCTTGTGGATACCTCAGATAGCAGGGGTATTGAGGGGAAGTGCTCTTGGAGGAAACAAGGTCCGCGCATTGCCCAGTCCACCAGAGATATGCCCTTGAAATCATGGATTGGGGGTAGGAGAACAACAGGAGCAGGAGGAGCACCCCATTCTGCCACTGCTAGGGTAGGACTTCAGCCTGGACATGTGGCATCTGTGACTGTTGGCTACTGCTGCTGGGAGGTGACCATTTTGAATGAGCACAACACAGAGCGATAGTAAAGGAGCTGCAGGTCTCACACAGTAACCCATGTCATCCTGTGTCCAGCAGCCTTAAGCCAGTCATTCTGACACCTGGTGGATATGGAGAAGCCCTGCTCATCCGTATTATTATCCAACCAAATGCCCTGCCTAACTGTGGGTGGACTCCTTGGATAGCTTTGGGATGCCAAGCCTCTGGCAGCCAGGCCTGTGTGTTAGGGCAGGGAGCCTGCCTCCCTCCTGTGGCCACTCTTTCCCAGAGGACAAGTGCTGAGGCCCTGTTCATCTGTCCTCCCAGCCTCACTGTGGGAAGAAGGATGGAGGTGAGGGGACCTGCTTGGTGGTCAATGTTCTGTTCTTGAAGAATTCCAGGAGCAATCATGATGGGAGTTTCCTAGCCAACCAAGGAGCAGGGGGAGCCTGCCAGGATGCCTTTTTCACAGATGAGACTGAAGCTGGAGAGACTGAGACCAGCTCAGTGCCGGTATCAGATTCAGAAGGAGGCTTCAGGATTCCCCACACTGGCTCTATACACTACAGCATGGGTGCTTTTGTCTGCTGGCAGCAAACATCTCACATTGTCTTGGGGTTTCTCTAAGCCCAAGAGTCACCAACATTGTACCCCACTCTGCTTTTAAAGGAGAGGCCAACACCACCCTCTGGCAGTGGTGGTCAAGCTCTACGCACACCACGTGTGGGGATGGAGCTGAAAGTCCAGAGGAGCACCTTCCCACCTGAGGTTCCACCACTCCTGGTTGTAGATGTTCTTGTCAATGGTGCCATCGAAGACCCTCCAGCGAAACAGGTCCATTAGATAGCTGAAGGGGATGAAGGCAATCTTCTCCAGGGCCATGCCAATCAGGTAATTGACTTCCTCCTCTGGGGATGAGGTCAGGGCAATTAGGGGGTGGCTCCAGAGCTCTCCTGTCCTTTACCCTTGCCTGGGTGGCCCCACCGACCTACTCCCCTCAAGCTGCAACCCCAGGCTCAGGCTGCCTTCCCTGTCCCTTTGGTCCCCACAACCTGAGTCCTGCTGCCGGAGGCTGATCAGGCCTGTGCTGAACAAGTGCCTGTGGGAAGAGGCAGAGAGTGTGACCATTGCCCCCACAGCCTCTTCAAAAGCAGGGTTGGCACCTTCACGGAAGATTACAGACAGGTTCTGGTATTGCATGAAGTATTGGATATGACCCATCTGGTGGAAGACAGAGAGCAGGTCTTCGATGGTCACTTCAGTGCATTTCTTTATCCTAGAGTTAAAGGACAAGGATCAAGAGCATGAAAATGCCCTGGGAAGTTTGGCACACTTCTACATTGAGACCTCTTTAAGGAACTGGCATGAACAGGCTGGAGATCAGAGGGCTTTGGTTGCTATCTTTCCCACTCCAGGCCCCATATCCAATGAGTGACCAAGACCATGGCTTCCACGTCCATCTCCCCTTCTGTACTTCTGGCTTATATCTCCCCTCCCTTGGCAGGGCCCTCCCGTCCTTACTCCTCCCTTAATATGGCCTGTGACAGGTAGATGTGGGATGGGACGAGGATGTGGAATTGTAGTGCTAGCAGCTGGCCCTGTTGATGATAGTTACCTGAAGTCATTGCCACTGTAAAAGTCCCAGGCAGAGGTCTGACATTCCACTGACCGCCCGTCGGTCGGCCTCTCCAGCATTGACTTTTTCCAGAAATCAGGTGGGACAGACAGCATCCCCAAAGAGGTGAAGAATTTGTCAGCCTCTTCAAACATTTTCTCAGGTCTCCAATGCTGTTGCGGTGAGGGAGAACATGTACACTGCCCTATTCCCCCAGGCACCTGAGGGTAGGGACATCCAGGGGCCAAGCACTGACCTGCTGTTTCATGATCCGTGTGATGTCTATGGGGGGCTTCTTAGGGAAAGGCAGAACCATGTCTAGGATGTTGTCCCAGGACTGAGCCCACATGTCCCCTGGATGGAGAGTGGAAGGGTTCAGAGGAGGTGACAACAGTCTGCCTGCTGACTGAATACCCATCCCTGCACCAGCAGACCCTTACCCAGCAGGTGGGCAGGGATAGGCCCCCGCAAACTGATGAGTTCAGGCCCATAGTGGCGGTACAGGGCACGGCGCACATATGCATGCAGGTTAAGATAGAGAGGCTGCAGCTCTTGGTAAATCTGCTCCATGTCTTGCTCCAGGGTATCTGACTCGTACTTAGCACGCCACAGTTGTCCCATGTCTTTGTACCCTAGGGCAGGAGAGGGGACTTGCCAGGCACTCACCCTACCCACCTTAGCCCAGTCTTGCAGGCAGGAGACATAGGTGCCTCCTTGGGAAGCTGTTCAAGCTCCCTGGTTGTCTGGACCTTCATCTGAAAAATGGGAGTATTACCTGCCGAGGCCACAGTCTACACTGGATCGGATCAGACCAGGAAAAGTATGAAACGAAGCCCCAGTATGAGCTCCTTTCCATGCCTTCGAGGCTCTGCCATCTCTAGCCCACAGTGAGTCCCTCCTCATCCTCGCCATGCCTGCAACCTCCTGTCCTCTGTCACCCTGCTTGGGAACTCCCTCAACCGCAGCCCAGTGGCCCGATGAGCTTCTTTCAGATTCTCCAAACTCTGCCTCTCTCCCAGTGCGGGCCATTTTCTTCCTGCCTGGCTGGCTCTTGGCCGTGTTTTGAGCATGAGTAAGAGCTGGAGGCTTTCCTCATTTCCTCCCTCAGCACCATCTCTGCACCATCATCATAAGTGGTGTTAAAGACGAGTGTGTCCTTGACCACAGTACTTCCTTACAGCAAGCTCACAGGACAAGCATGCATCTATTTTTACCTGCATAGGTTCAGAACCTCTGTAGCATCCAGCACACAGTAGCTACTCATTTGACATTTGTGGGGCCCCCTACAGGCCTGCAGCTGAGTGTCTGGGATCCTGTGCCTCCCTCTGAAGACTCAACTTTGCCCCTTGTTGGGTACTTTCCTATGACGGACTTGTGTCCAGACTGCTCACCGTTGAGCTGTGCAGCTTTGTTGCTGAGCTGCACGTAGCGCCAGAAAATGGGGCGGAGTTGGCGACCCACAGAGTCCCGCCAGCCCTCCCAGGCCCACAGCAGCTCCTTATGGTCTCTGGATGTAGCCATGACTTCTTCGAGGTCTGTGCCCAGAAAAGAAGTCACATTGGACCCCCACGTCACTCACGGCTCTGCCATTATCCACCCCAGGTGCCTTCCTCCAACAAGGCAGCTCAGTTAGGGTTGGGAGAGCCACAGAAGGGGCAGGGCTTGGGCACTCACCGGGCTCCAGGGTCATGCAGGGCCCCTCATCCAGGCACACTTGGGCCAGGCTGTATGTTGTCTCCATGTAGGCCACAAGCTTGTTGTACTGGGGGGACAGGTGTCACCCAGGACAGGCCTGTGCCCTGGCCTGCCAGTAGCACTAACTCCACAAACCAGAAGGGGTGGGTCTGTTTCAAGCACCCACCGTCCTCCCATAGAGGAACTTTGCTTCTGCTCTAACTACCCATCTCCTGCCCCAGACACTGGTTCCCCACCAGGTATGACCCACCCATCCCTGGTCTAGGGCAAGTGTGCCTGGAGCCCTGTTCATCACCTCCCAAAGGTCGTCGTATGGCAAGGCTGCCTTGCCTATGTCTTGTAGTTTACTCAGCATGCGCTTCACAGTTGGGTCCTGGATCTGGGTGATGTTAAACAGGTGGGCCTGGGTGCCAAAGTGTTTCATGAAGTAGGACCTCTCTAATTCCTTCTGCAGCTGGAAAGAGGGTCATCACGTTTGTTGTGGCACGTTGAGACAGGCAGTAGGTGTCCCACATTGAACTGCCAGGGCTATGACTCCCCTTCCCACTCCCAAATCCCATTTTAAGTGTCCATATCATTGAAGATTTGCTAAGAGGATCCTGGGTTCCTAGAAGCAAGGACGAAGGGCTTAAAAAAGGAAAAGAACCAACAGACTCTTATGAAAAAAAAAAAAAAACAGTTTGGGGCCACTAAGAGACCTGGAGCTTGCAGCTCACTTTAACATGTGCTTCGCAGCTTCCCTCTTTCCTCTAACTCTAGACCGGGATCAGCACGTACGAGTCCTAATTCCCAATAACCCCTGAGAAGAGGAAAGGGTGGAAAGAGTAGAGGGCAGGAAGGTGGAACCATACCATTTGTTCTCGATTTGGCTTGGTGATGTTGGTGACATAGTTCCAAGTGGCTTCCACAAACTCCTTCAACACAGTATTGGCTGTTTGTTCATAGTACTCCAGGAACCGCTTTGCCTCAGTTTCATTGTAGGGCACAGCTGCAGGAAGGGGGTTATATGATCCTGTCCCCACCCAGGGCCCTGTCACATTTTCCTTTAGGTCTGTAGTCACACTTGCATCACCCACAATCCTAAGCCATGACAAGAGCTGCCCATAGCACAGGATCACAAGTAGGGAAGATCCAGGGTGAGTCCAGCTTGTTCCCATGACCAAAGAACTGCTGAGCTGGGAGAAGCTTTGTAGCATTCACAAGCAAAGTCCTTATTATGACATCAGTGGCTTAAGGGTCAGGCATGGAATGTTCAATCTGGAAAGTCTCTACCCATCCTCTGGTACACTGTCCCTGTTTTATAGGTGAGGAGGTCTCTGAGAATCAGAACAGTCAGGCTCCAAAGCCAAGCAGAGAAGTTAGGACTCTGGACTTTTAAAACAGAACTCCTCTTTTCCATTTGGGTACTTCTGCAAGTAGAAAGAGTGGGGTGGGGTTGGAACCCCTGTTGTTGTTGTTGTTGTTTAATGTGTTTTTGAGACAGAGTCTTGCTATGCAGTTCAGGCTGGGCTTGAGCTCATTCACATATATTCTCATGTCTCCTTCACTTATATTCACATGTTTTGGTCTTTCTTTCTTTCTTTCTTTCTTTCTTTGTTTCTTTTTATCTTTCTTTCTTTCATGGGACACATGGTCATCCTCGGAGCTTTTCAGGGCATTTCTTCTCACCCTTAGACCTGCTACTGCAGAAAAGCTGGGCATTACACATGTGCAGTCAAGGGAGCAGCAGGGTAGAAACAGATGCAGATATTCGGGGCTGGGTGCTTGTCCATGTGTGTTTCAGCACCAGCCACCGCCTTCAGCCCTCTGCCACATCTTGGTTACTGTCCAGTACTCTGACACACATGGTCTGAGGAGGGCAGCTCCATCTTCTCTCCACAGAGGTCCTTCCCATTTTCCTCCACTCACAGACGCCCCCTGTCCTGTGTCATTCTCAGCCCAGGGCCACTCACCCTTTCACATACGCTGTGACCATGACCAGAGGAACTGACCAAATAATCCCCTAAATAGGATATGCTATGAAATACAAGAAAAGCAAGACAAAAATCAGTGACATTTCTGGTTAAACTGCTCAACAGATCTCACAGGGAAGTCTTGACAGCTTCAAGCCTGAAAACAAGCATGCATGATAAGAAACATAATGAAAATACAAAGCAAAGACTGAAAATACAAAATGCAGAGCTGAACTGGAAAGGAGGAAAGGCGATTCTCGATTGCTAGAGATGACAAGGGCCCTTGTGGCAGCAAGTGGGGACTGAAGGCCTCTGGCCACATGGGATGTCACTGTGCCTCCATGCATAGAGCTGTGGTGCTAGTGTGTGTATAGAGTAGCTGATCACCTTCTGTGGGGCCGAAGCAACAGCTCCCTCAAGCTGGAGCTGAGAGATGGCTTTCTAAGTGCAAAAAGCAGATGTATGCACAGGACCCTGCAAATGCTGTTTCTGTTGAGTGAGAATGGCTTATGGTTCAAGTTTAGCAAATAGAGGAGAAGATCTAATGCCTGGAGGGCTACAGCAATAACCACCATCTCCACCTGCACCCCTACCCCCATTAAGGGGCTTTGTGTATCAGAATCCTCATAACAAATTCATGAGTCGAGTACTGTGACCAACTCCATTTTCAGACAAGGACACAGAGGTAGAATGAGGCTGAAGAACCTACTTACAACACCTTGGCTTAGTTCCAGGCCACATGCTGACCGGCAGACACAAGGAATAGAGCGGTCCACCCCTAGGAAGGATCAATCTCGGCTATACTAATGGACTTGCAGGCTGTGGATGTAGCTCAGTGGTAGAGTGTTTGCTTAGCATATGTGAGGCCCTGGGTTCAGTCCGCTGCACTACACACACACACACACACACACACACACACACACACAAACTACAGATCATCTTGCCAACACAAAACTCAAAATGCACCAAAATCCCAAAAAAGAAAAATCTAATAAAATTTTTAGAAGACAACGGGGGGCAAAGTTGAATGACACTGATGTTGGCAGTAATTTCCAGGACATGACATGAAAAGCACAGGCAGTAAAAACAGCAAAAAGACAAATTGAGCTTCATCAAATTTAAAAATGTTTATGCATCCAAGAACATCATCAAAAGTAAAAAGGAGGAAACCTAAAATGGTGGAGTAGAGGCTGCCAGCAAAGTCTAGAGTCTAGAGTCAAAACAACAGTGTAGAGAAGAGAAGGAAGGAGGTGAATGGGGAAGGAGCTGCTAGGAAGACTGGAAACTGCAAAGCCAGAGAGATGAACCAGTGCAGGGATGCAGGAATGGGGAGGGCTCCACGCTCCCCTCAGCATCTGGGAGGGGCATCTGCCCAGGAGAGATGGGGTGGCTCTAGGGAGAGACACTGAGAGAAGCCCTCAGCTACTATAAACTGCAAAAACGGAGTATTTTATTCTGAAAGTGGCTCTTTTGTAAAGCAGGATGGAGTTGGGGAGGAAGTGCAGTTTGGTGTCTGCCACATTTGAGAGGATTTAATCCAGAGCCATTTGAGGAGGGATTAATTATTTGGGACTGAGCCAAGAGCAACTGCAGAGCAGAACTGGTGTCACCTTCCGCAGTGACTGGGTAGGAGGTGGCCCCAGGAGGTAGTAGTGAAGGTGTGCAGGCTGGCCGGAGCCCCCTAGGAGTTTAAGCTCAAACCAGGAGGGATGTGGGTGTCCCAAACTTGATGCTGAGAAACCAGACCAGGCAAGTATGGCTTAGAGAAGGGCTGGATCTGCAGGTGCAGGCATTAGGTCTAGCAGACTGCTTGATTCTCACCCCACCTACATCTACCTCGGAATTCAGCTGTGTTTCTAACATGAGCAATGGTACAGTTCCATTTGGGTGGTTGCCATGGCCTTGGGTATATAAAGGGGCCTCTGGAGCAGGAGTGGGGGCACCTCACAAATCCACAGGCTGAAAGCTAGTGAGAGAAAACTGACTTGGGGTGCACAGAGGGACAAGGAAAGTGGGAGCTGCTAGAGTGAGCGCAGCCTCCAGGCAGACACCATTGACTGTCCATGTCCAGCAGAAAAGGCAGGGCAGCGTCCAACATCCATACAGAAATGTAAGTGTGGAAGCAAAACAGGTCTCAGCAATGACTCACTGTCCCTCCTCATGTTTGCTGGGTGCCAAAGCTGCAGTCCCTGGAAAGCAAAGACTCATTCAAAAGCACAGGGGACTTTTTTGGATTTTGGATTTTTTGGTCTTTCTCTCTTTTTTTCTCTATTGATTTTCTTTTTGAGACATGGTCTTACTATGTAGTCCAGGCTGGTCTTGAACTTGGCAATGACCCTCCTGCCTCAGTCTCCCGAGTGCTGGATTTACAGGTGTGTACCATCACATATGGTTGGACTTCATTTCTTTTCTTTTCCTTCTCTTTCCTTTCTTTTCTTTTTTTAGGATGTGGGTGTGTATTTTCCTTTTTTTGTAGCTTTTTTTTTCTTTTTTTGGCACTGAGGTTACCCCCAGTCCCACTTTTTTTTAGCTTTTTATTGTCTTTATTTTGCTGGGTTTTTTGTTAGTTTTTTTCCATAGGTCTGTTGAATTGCTTGCTTGTAACATTTTCTTTTTTTATTTTAGAGAGTAAAATTAACAGAACAAACAATAAAATAAAGCAATGTAAGAGATAAATTTCAAAGCAATACAACCAGAGATCTTCACTATCATATTGTCTTTTGTTTTCTTCCAAATAGTTGTCCATATCTTCATATACAGTGAATTCATACAAAACAGCATAGTGTAAAATTAATCCAAACAGGATGATGAAAGTGTTTTAGGTCTTCAATACCAGACAATAGGGAAGTCAAGAATGGTTGTCATAATGTCTCTCATTCTCTTCAGAATAGCTGTCCTTCATGTATGTCGAAATTAAACAAAACAAAATGGACTAAAGTCACTCTGAACAAAGAATAATAGTATTGCTGGATTTCACAACATGATGCTATGGAATCAGCACTAGGTACCTTAGTGTCTCTTTTTCTTCAGAGTGGTTGTTCATTTCATCATGTGTTATATAATCAGTTCTAATTAACTGTTTATAAGTGATATGTATGCATGAGTCTCTACATGTATATGTATCCTTTCTGTATTAGAGGGAAAAACAAAACAAAGCAAGACAAAACAACAACTTCCTAGAAAAACATAAAGTGAAAAAACATATAAAACCACAATACAAGGTGATCTATGTTGTTTACTATGATATCTCTTGTTATCTTCAATAGAGTTGTCTATATCACCAGGCATAGCACAATTGAACAGAGTAGTACATAACAATATTAATAAAAACAAAACTTTGGAGACATTATAAGACCTCAAAAGCAGGTAATAGTCAAACCAGAGTGGGTATCCTAGTGAATCTTGTCATCTTCAATGTAGTTGCCTATACTCTCAGACTTGATACTATCAATCATAACAGATTTGAATAAAATCAGTCAATACAAAACAGCAATCTAACAAACCAGATTCAAATAAGATCAGTCATGAGAAGAAAGTGTAAGTTATACAGGGCTTCAGATTAAGTTAATAGGATATTAAGGATAACTACTGTACTATATCCTGCTATTTTGGGGATAGCTGTCTGTGCCCTGAAAGCTATCAGAAGTAGAAACAGAAAATAATCTGGAACAGAGAATAATCCACCTAAACAGAGCAGTGAGAGTGATGTGGGTTTGAAATCCTGATACACTGTTAACAACATCCTCCGCCTTCCTTTTTCAGACAATTCTTTCCCTTTCACTTTTACAGGGTGCGATGTGCATTTTGGGTTCAACAATCTCCCTGTTTTAAAATGGGGGGCAACCGGCTATTTACCTAAATGATTCTGATCCTTCACACTCTTGGACTTGATTTCAAGTTGTATTCCTTTACCTACAAAAGCCTCTAGGTTTTCCTTCATTGTAGCTGAGTAGTTCTCTACTGCACAAAAGTGTCAGTCTTTCCAATCTATCTGCAATTGCTGGTTGAGATGCCCCTATTTCTCTCTGGTTCCCTGTCATATAGAGCATTGTTTTCTTGATTTTTGGTCCATAAACCCTCTTTCAGGTTAATTATATTTTCTATACAGAGCATCTTGATGGACCCTACCTTCTGATCTACCCTGCCTGTGTTTCTTTTTGTTAGTGTATCAAGGCTATCTATGTTAGCGATGATAGCCAACCTTCTCTGCCTCATTTCTGCTATGCTATTTTTCTGTCATTGGTTGTCTAGTTTTCTCCTTCATTCCATTGTCTGCCTCATTCACTGAGGCCTCTCTGCCACTGTTCCTGAAATCCCAGTATTCCTTTTCTCTCTCTCTAGAATGTCCTTCAGTATTCTCTATAGGGTTGGTTTGGTTGTCACGAACTCCCACAGTTCCTCTTTGTCATGGAAGCATCTTGTTTCTCCATTAATTTTGAGAGACAGTTTTTCAGGGTACATCAGTCTGGGTTGGAGGTTATTTTCTTTCAGGGCTTGGAATACTTGTCTCCAAGCTCTTCTTGATTTGATGGTTTGTGTTGAGAAGTCTGTCATTATTTTGGTGGGTTTTCATTTATAGGTGATCTGT